AGAGCACGAGAGTGACGAGAGCAGTGATGAGAGCGCGAGAGTGACGAGAGCACGAGAGTGACGTCGTCGGTTTTTTTTTCGAGAGCACGAAAGTGACGAGAGCACGAGAGTGACGAGAGCACGAGAGTGACGAGAGCACGAGAGTGACGTCGTCGGTTTTTTGCAAGAGCACGAGAGTGACAAGAGCACGAGAGTGACGAGAGCGCGAGAGTGACGAGAGCACGAGAGTGACGACCGCGAGAGTGACGAGAGCACGAGAGTGACGAGAGCACGAGAGTGACGTTGTCGGTTCTTTTTTTGCGAGAGCACAAGAGTGACGAGTGACGTCGTCCGTTTTTTGCGAGAGCACGAGCGAGAGTGACGAGAGCACGAGAGTGACGTCGTCCGTTTTTTGCGAGAGCACGAGAGTGACGAGAGCACGAGAGTCCAGCCAGGCAGCCTAGGATAGAATGAAGAGACAACATGTTTTTTTTTTTCTCCGAGAGCGCAGGAGTCCAGCCAGCCAGGCGAGGATAGAATGAAGAGACAACATGTTGTTGTGTTCTTTTTCGAGAGCACGAGAGTCCAGCCAGCCAGCCGAGGATAGAATGAAGAAACAACATGTTGTTGTCATTTGTTTCGAGAGCACGACAGTGACGAGAGCACGAGAGTGACGAGAGCACGAGAGCACGAGAGTGACGTCGTCGGTTTTTTTTGCGAGAGCACGAGAGTGACGAGAGCACGAGAGTGACGAGAGCACGAGAGCACGAGAGTGACGTCGTCGGTTTTTTTGCGAGAGCACGAGAGTGACGAGAGCACGAGAGTGACGAGAGCACGAGAGCACGAGAGTGACGTCGTCGGTTTTTTTTGCGAGAGCACGAGAGTGACGAGAGCACGAGAGTGACGTCGTCGGTTTTTTTGCGAGAGCGCGAGAGTGACGAGAGCACGTGAATCCAGCCAGCCAGCCGAGGATAGAATGAAGAGACAACATTTGTTTTTCTCCTTTTTTTCATTTTTTTTTTCGAGAGTACGAGAGTCCAGCCAGCCAGCCGAGGATAGAATGAAGAGACAACATGTTTTTTTTTTTGGAGAGCACGAGAGTCCAGCCAGCCAGCCGAGGATAGAATGGAGAGACAACATGTTGTTGTCCTTTTTTCGAGGGCACGAGAGTGACAAAAGCACGAGAGTGACGAGAGCACAAGAGTGACGATAGCACGAGAGTGACGTCGTCGGTTTTTTGCGAGAGTACGAGAGTGACGGGAGCACGAGAGTGACGAGAGCACGAGAGTGACGTCGTCGGTTCTTTTTGCGAGAGCACGAGACTGACGAGAGCACGCGAGTGACGTTGTCGGTCTTTTTTGCGAGAGCACGAGAGTGACAAGAGCACGAGAGTGACGAGAGCACGAGAGTGACGAGAGCACGAGAGTGACCAGAGCACGAGAGTGACGTCGCCTTTTTTTTGCGAGAGCACGAGAGTGACGAGAGCACGAGAGTGACGAGAGCACGAGAGCACGAGAGTGACGTCGTCGGTTTTTTTTGCGAGAGCACGAGAGTGACCAGAGCACGAGAGTGACGAGAGCACGAGAGCACGAGAGTGACGTCGTCGGTTTTTTTTTCCGAGAGCACGAGAGTGACGAGAGCACGAGAGTGACGAGAGCACGAGAGTGACGAGAGCACGAGAGCACGAGAGTGACGTCGTCGGTTTTTTTTGCGAGAGCACGAGAGTGACGAGAGCACGAGAGTGACGAGAGCACGAGAGCACGAGAGCAGAGCACGAGAGCACGAGAGTGACGTCGTCGTTTTTTTTGCGAGAGCACGAGAGTGACGAGAGCACGAGAGTGATGTTGTCGGTTTTTTTTGCGAGAGCACGAGAGTGACAAGAGCACGAGAGTGACGAGAGCACGAGAGTGACGAGAGCACGAGAGTGACCAGAGCACGAGAGTGACGTCGCCTTTTTTTTGCGAGAGCACGAGAGTGACGAGAGCACGAGAGTGACGAGAGCACGAGAGCACGAGAGTGACGTCGCGTTTTTTTTTTGCGAGAGCGACACGAGAGTGACGAGACGAGAGCACGAGAGTGACGTCGTCGGTTTTTTTGCGAGAGCACGAGAGTGACGAGAGCACGAGAGTGACGAGAGCACGAGAGCACGAGAGTGACGTCGTCGGTTTTTTTTGCGAGAGCACGAGAGTGACGAGAGCACGAGAGCACGAGAGTGACGTCGTCGGTTTTTTTGCGAGAGCACGAGAGTGACGAGAGCACGAGAGCACGAGAGTGACGTCGTCGTTTTTTTTGTTGCGAGAGCACGAGAGTGACGAGAGCACGAGAGTGACGAGAGCACGAGAGTGACGTCGTCGGTTTTTTTGGGAGAGCACGAGAGTGACGAGAGCACGAAAGTCCAGCCAGCCAGCCGAGGATAGAATGAAGAGACAACATGTTGTTGTCTTTTTTTCGAGAGCACGAGAGTCCAGCCAGGCCGGACCCGCGGTCCGGTACCGGCATGGTCACAGGACCCGCGGTCCTGTGGCCTGGGTGTGGGCACGCATGCCGCACCCTGCAGTCGCACTGCAAAAGCACGGTCTGTTTCACGTGTGGGGGGGGGGGGGGTGGAATTCTCGCCCCCCTGACACCAGGTAGGTGCACTGCGTGCCCTGGACTCTGGTGCGACCTCCCAAGCAACACGGAAAAAAGGTGTGCGTCCTTGTCGGCAGCTTTGTTTGGGTTTTGTATGGGTTCAAGCCAGGCGCAGTGCAACAGACCTTTAACGTTTGCGCCAATCGCTGGAGAAAAATTGGTAAAACAGATTTGCTCCGCCAACAGGTCCAGACTACACGGCTGCAGAATCGCCTCAGCACTCTGTTCACAACAGCTTGACGTACGCGACGTGTTTTTGACACATGGCATCACTGTACATGCATGGTCCCGGCCGGCGCAATGACTGGGCAGATGATCTCACCCGCAGTCGCCTGCAGCGATTTGCCATGCCGTTTCGCGGTACACTATCGCGTACTCATGTTTCTGCGTCATTTTGTGAGTGCATGTTGGCGCAGGTGTTTTTTGGTGTGCGAGAGTGCGTTGGCATAAAGCACGCGCACACACGCGCACACACACACACCAACCCGCGTGGGGGCCATGTCGACATCATGTTGCACGTATTTGTGTGTGTGCATATATATATATATACATATACCCATATATCGCCTCATCATTTTCACTTGGGCCATTGGCGGAAAGGCTGGGACAATGGTCGGCCTTGATTGTTTATCAGTATTTATTTGCGCAAGCTGCGTATCTACACATGCCACGCACCGTGTGGTGAACCAACACCATTTGCTGTTTTTGTCTGGAAAAGGAGTGGCGTTGCATTTTTCAGTTTGAATATTTATGTGTGTGTGTGTGTGTGTGTGTGCGTGTACCGCGTGTTGGACATGCTGATTGCAGGTGAGTTACGCAAATTGTTGTTTCGTGTTTTTCAACGCAACGTGCATGAGCGAGAAGGTCACACAAAACAATTGCAGAGCATTTTGGCTTTGAGAAACGCTGTCGTCATTGACAATGCTTGCCATGGTCACGGGACTTGTTGTCTGGTTATGATGACACTTTCCACTTTGTTTTGCTTGGGACACGTAGTGCTGATTTGGCTTGGACAAAATGGTTTGGTCATTTGGGCTCTAGTGTTGGAAGCTTGCCAGTAGCTTCCTATACGCACTACGCGGGTGCCTCGGTACACTCTGTGGTGTTCATGCTCGAAAGTGCCAAAACCCGACTCACGCCAGGCCCAGCACGTGGCTTGGAGGACGCCGCAATAGGATAGTCTCTGCGAGAAACCTTGCTGAGTGATAGACATATCAATGCATTTTGCTGTCAGCATGTTGGTTCTTGTGGCTACTTGCAACATGCACTCAGGACAAGCTGATGTTTGGGAATTCATTTCATACGTTTAGGCCTCAGATCTCACGAAAAGAGCAGGGGTGCTTCCCGCAGTGAATGCAGTATGCTCAGGTGAACTTGTCAGATGGTGATTCTGCAGGCAGGCCAAGGGGAAGCCGTGTTCAGCACGTGAAATGAACCAGACATATATTCTTGTTCCGCTAGAGGACATGGACATGTGGGTTGGTCCCCCAATAACCTCCGATCGCGGATTGCACCGCTTCGCGATTCAGGGCTTCCCACATTACCCCTTTTCCGCCTTGTTGACGTTGGCTTTTGGAGAAGTGTCCTCTTGGTGGGGTAATGTTTCGAGGGGGGGGGACGCCCTGTTATTTGCACTCGCATCTATGTGTACATACCACGGCACTCCATGCCTGATATGTATCGCACCTGGGCTGCAGTATGGGCAGTCCATGCCAAGATTTTGTTGCATTCCGCTACATGTCCTGGTCTTGCGTTGCATCGCTTCAGTTGATTTGCGTCACACATACAATGCGTTGTTTTGCATGATCACAGTACATTGTGCTACGTTACATGACATTGCGTTACGTTACGTTGCACTTTTTCACATGGCATTTCGTTTTCTGTTTAACAAATCTGGAAATATCGGCGATTGATGTTGCGTGCAATCATGATCGTCTCTGCCTTATGGCCGCCGATAATTTTTGCAGCCCTTGTGTGAGAGAGAACGAGATACCGGGAAGGCTGGGCAGTGTCGCTGTTTCGCAAGCAGAGACCAATGGTGCTTTGGGCAGCGAAACGGCAAAGCGGTCCTCAAAGTATCGGTTTGAACAAAATAACACTGTTACCCCGGAGAGGCTGAGCATTTGCACGACGCACAAATGGCCGTCCAAGGTGCTTTGCGCCCTTCACCTCCAGGGCTTGGAGCTTACGTCAGAGGGCAAGTGGTGCTGAAGCTGCTTGCCATGTGTTTTATCTTTGCCGTCGCAGCCCTTTTGGGACCTTTGCGGCTTGCTCAAGTGGTGACAAATTCAGGCCCCCCTGTTGTAGATTGGCCCATTTCTGATGGAATTTTACCATTTGTTTTGACAAATTCAGCCCCGTTTTTTTTGATTTTGGACCATTTGTGTTGACCTGGCTCGTTGGGTCTCTTTCTGCTTGCGCCGTGGCGCCATGCTGTCCGTGCCGCTGGCGCCCTGGGGCCCGGCGTCGCCGGAGTCGCCACAGCCGCGCACCCCGGGGCCGGTGCAGGCGTGGCAGATGCCTGGAACACCTGCACCAAGTTGGGTATGGGTCAAAATGAAACCACCAGGAATTGGACCGCTGCCATTTACCAGGGCTCGATTTTGGGTACCTATTTTTGACCCCCACCCAGTTGGGGGACTAAAGTCCCCATGCAAAGTTCAGCAAAGAATCCCCAAAGAAGATTCATAACTATGCGGGCCTATGCGCAATCGCTTTTCGATTGCACAGGCGACATTCCGTGAGGAGAGTGCAGGGCTTGTTGTAGTGTGGACGTTTTGACCAGGCAACACGGCGAAGCCTCGATGCACCCAAGAGCATGCTGAGTCCCCCAGCGCGGGATGCAGAAGGCTCCATGGAGTATTTGTGCCAGAAGTATGAGGCAGGTTCGTCTGCTGGAGTCCTATTTGGTGAGGTCCCTGGTGCACAAGAGGCGTAGAGCAATCGCAGAATTGACCTCTTTCTTGATGAAACTGGTGTGATTTCACATTGTACAGACATGTGTTGCCCTTCCGTCCACTAAATTGGAGAGTCCCTTTTAGAGGACATGGTCTTCCAGACTATGGCAAGGTGCATGGGAACGTAGTTTTTGAATGTTCGCGTGTAGTGGTAACGTGGCCCTTCAGTGATTCTAGTGAATGTTACCGCCTAACACGTTGAAACTTGTATCATTTCACAATGTTATCATGAATTCCGGTCACATGAAGGTTGCGTATACTCCGAGCCTTTTGGAGCGGATATCCGCCCTTTCAATTCTCTACCATTTTGATTGCTCGTGACACTGCTTTCTCAAAATCGAGGTCCCAACCTGCGGCACGGCCTGGCACCGGCCCCCCGCTCCCCCCACTCCCGCCGCGCTCAACGCGCGCGACGCGAGGCACTGTCGCGGCAGCTGGGGGAGGCGCAGCGCTGCCGCGAGGCTGCGGAGCTGCGGCGGCGGCGCTTGGGGGAGGAGCTGTCGGAGAGCTCCCGGAAGCGCGGCGAGGACCCGGGGTTCGACGGGGACGACCGGTCCGGGGCCGGGAGGCCGGGAGGCCGGGAGGCCGGGAGGCCGGGAGGCCGGGAGGTGTCGGTTTGCGCTGAGGTGGTGGTTGGTGGGGTGAAGCTTTTTTTGGACAGGGAGCCGCCTGAAAAGTGATGGAGAGTTGTGAACAGGGAGCATGGCCTCATTTGTGGTTGGTGGACATGCATCCCCGCCGAATTTTGATGTCCTCCATAGGGTCAATTCAAATTCATCTCCAAATGAGACTGGTCCGGTAGAGTGCGAAGATGGAGAAAAACGGTAAAGGGTTTCTTCGAGAAACTGATGAACCAAAGGAAGCTGCCTTGGAACCCTCCTTGATTTCAACCACAAAATTTGGTTCCCATTGTTTCTGTTTGGTTCAGGTACTACATCAGGTGCTGTGGATGATTACTAAATCAGCGATGATTTGCACCAGTTGAGATGGATGAAGCCCGATGTACTGGTTAATCAACCACCTACCAACTGGTGCTGAATTTCGTCCATCAATGGAGCAGACTGGGGCTTTGCGACCCCAGCTTCCTTTGGCAATGACTTTGCCGAGATGGAGCCTATGGAAGCGCGGCTTCAGATGCGGCCTGGTGCGCCGCATGATGTACCATGTTGCAAATGCCAGGGCAACTTAGCAACGATTGGAGGATGTACACATGCCCACACAATTTTATGTCCACTAAAGGGTCCCAACAATCTTTCGAACTCACACGGGTGTGGCTCATCATTTTTTTGCAACTGGGGTTAGAAGGGTAAAAAGGTCTACCTGTGCATTTCCCAGGCTTCCATTTTGGACCCCCGTTTTTGAGCCACACCGTCCTCGCTGGTTTGACTTTCAGAGGAAGAAAAACATTTGTCAGGAGGCGCTGGTTTCGGAGCTGACGGCGCGGCAGGCCAGGGACCTAAAACCGGGGAAAGGATTTCCCGGCTGGGAGGCCATCATCTCCGATTTGGATTGGATTGGATTGGTTATTTGGGTTTGGTCGCTTGTTCTTGTGGGTAAATGGCTGTGGTCCAAACCCTGCACCCCTGGTGAACATCAAACTAGGTGGCAAATGGATGTTCCTCCACCCCAAAATGGCTGCTCGCCATAGGTTATGCAACCGCCAATCCCTCCTTGGCCGCGCCACCGCTTCGGCTCCAAAAACCCACCGCCCCTTGGGCCGCGATCTTCGGAGGCCTCGCTGGCGAGCCTGCGGGAGGCGGCCAGCCAGGCGAGCCAAGTGGCCCAGCGCCAAGCTGGGCGATTGCGGCAGGAGCCGCGAAACGGCGAAACGCGGGAGGGGGGAGCTGATGGGGAGGGGAGGACCGGGGGGGAAAAGACCGGGGGGACCGGGGGACGGGGGGACCGAAAAGACTGGGGGGACCGGAACCCAGAACCACGTTTTCGTTATATATATATATATATATATACACATGTATTTTCAGCGAGGAACAAGCTGCCGGCGCCTCTGCAGAGCAGCGCTGTGCCCAGCTGGCCGAGGCGCGAAGCGCGAAGCGCACCGCTTCGATGACGGCCGAAGCCTCCACTTTGGCCTGCGCCAAAATAGAGGGAACGACCCTGGCTTTTCCTTGGCTCAAAAGCCGCAATTCCCCTTCTTTCACCCGTATTTCCCTGCAAGCTGCTGCAAGTTTTATTTCTGTCCTCGGGTTCCACTCGAAATTTCCGCAGGTCTTAGGCGCGGGGGACGCTCGGTGGACGCTTCGGCCCCCCCCCCCCCGCCGCCCCCTCCGGCCCTCCCTTCAACACGAGGACTGCAAGCAGAGCGGCGCGCGCTACGAGCAGCTGGTGCAGCAGCTCGCGGTGCAGGACACGGGTCCTCGAAGGAAAGGGGCGCCGTTTGTTTTATTTTTTTTTCATTGTGTTGCTTATTATTATAATATTGCTATTCTTATTATTACTATTATATATTTTTCCTGGTGAGGGTTCAGCCCCTGGAAGCGCCTGATGCCGGGGAACAAAATATTAGTTGTTTGTGTATTTTTTTTTTGGGGGGGTTACTTGGCCACTGGAGGAAATGGGGTTTGTCTCGAGATGGGTTACTTGTGCCCGGCTCGAGCGACACCTTTAGGTAACTCCCTGTCGCCCTTCTCGAGGCAGCAAGTGACGCCACCCCACTGTTTTGGCAGGGACGAAGCTGCGGAAAAGAAGCTGCTCACTGGACAAGCAGTGAGTGGAATCAATCGTTGGATCGATGTCAAGCGTCAGTTGTTCAACGAGCTACTAGATTGCCACCACTAAATCTAGATGGAATCAAACAAATTCCCACCAAGGGGACATAGCCTGTAACTGGCTCAAATTTGAGACCTCTTTTTGATTGGTTGTAAAAGGGACCAAACACACAGCTAACATGGTTTCTCAGAGGTTTTATGGGATGAATATAGGCAAATGTGTACATATATATATATATATGTTCCAGCCCCGTGGGGACCCCCCCTTCCCCCCCGCCCCAACCCCCCCCCCCATGTGGGGGTGGGGTGGTTGGGTGGGTGGTTGGGGTTGAGTTGTCCTACGTGTCGGGATGCAAGGGTGCGAGTTTAGGGGCTCGAGGGGGTTTGGGGACCGTAGCAGCGGGGTGTGGGGATCCGGGTGCTCCGGGGTTGGGCGGGGTTGGTGGCCTGGGGACTGGACATACCTTTATATATATATATATATTATAATATCCGACGAAGCTTCCGTATTGCGGGTAGTGGACACCATCTTCACGACAGATCCCATGGGGAAGAAACTGGAGCTTGGATAGAAAGGGAAGGAAGTACCACGGACACCATCTTCACATGAGTTGTCAAACTACGGCAACTCCCATGTTGGGGGTGGTTTCCTGTTGGTTTCCGTTCAAAGCCCGAAGAAGGGGTGTACTGGTACCATTGGAAAAAGCCCAGCCACCCCCCACTCTAGGGGTTGATTCCCCATTCTTTTCAACCATCGTTCTTTTCAAAAACCAGCTGTTTCCCCTCAGGTTCTGGTTTTCTGAGAAGAAGGATCCCCGGAAAGAATGGAAATGGAAGCTACTGGAAAAACCTATGGGAGCGACCTCATGGGAGTCGCGTGCGCGCCTTTCCGCGAGCCCCGACCGTCAGGACCGCGAGGTGGCGCGGCTCCGCTTCGAGGCGGGCAGCGCGGCACGGCGGCTGCGCCAGACGCAGGTGCGGGCGGGCGGGAAGACGGGATTCCATGGAGGTACCCTTTTGACCATTTGAACCATGGCTTTTTCCACCAAAATACAGGGAAACCACCATTTGCAAGGCAATGCTGCAGTGTATAATGTAAGGATCCCTGTTTTGGTTTGCCAAAGGGACACCGCCCTTCAAAGTGGCGAGTCCTCCTAAATTTTGGCGTGGGGTTGTTTCGAAGTTGGGGGGTCCTGTGTGGATTCCCGGGAGATCAAGCAAGCAAACCAAGCGCCTGGGTCCGCAACGTGCACCTCGCCAAGGCTGATGCGCAGGTTGTGAAGGAGGACCTTCGGATCGAAACGCAGCGACGCTTAGCTCAAGGAGCGAAGCACCGGATTTGTGGAATCAGCGCAGAGCAGCTGTATACTCATCAAAAATACGAGTAAACACGGATACACACATATTATTCATATAACTACACAATTCTATATGATGGTCCCCCCCATGGACCCGGGTTTGGTTTTAGATTTACCATCCCCAAAAGGCAGTAAAACCAGGTTCCATGGCGGGGGTTGCACACATATATATATATATACATATATATATATATATTGCATGTATGTATATATACACACATAAATTTATGTATATATATATATATATATGTATCAGCTTTATTTTGTAGCTTTATTTGTTGTCGTGCATCTTCCGGGCGGTCGCAGGTTTCAACCTAAGGCCAGTTGCTGGCACAGAACGAGCTGCAGAGCCTGGAGCAAGCATTGCAGGTGCGGTAAGCGAAACGAGTTCAGTTCGCGTCAAATGGCCGTGGGTCAAAAATAAATCACCATGGGACCACAGGTTTACTCCATGTTTCCATGTACCAGGCTTCCCCATTTTGGGTTCATATTTTTGACCCACTGCCAAATAAGCCCAATAAGTTTCCGTCAAACGCAGAAGGGCCCAATTGACCATTTGATAGCCGTTGCCTTTGGGTTTGGCCAGGGAAGCTGAAAGGAAACCAGAAGGAAACAAATCCGTGGTGACGCGGTTCGGCACATCCTTTTGTTTTGGTGACCAAAGCCAAGACCTCTCTCCAGTGGTGTTTCCTTTTCAACTAGTTTGCCAAGGAATAAACGGGTGGCCCGTTTTCCCCAAGAACCGGAGAGGGGGGGGGTTTTCTGGAAAGGTCAAAACCAATGGGATCCCATTTTGGGGGATTGGTGAATTCACCACCCATTTTAGGCTTCCTATTTTAGTGGTTGGATTGAATCGGATGTTCACTGGGGGCGAATTCACCGACTTGGATTTTGAAAAGCCCCTGGCGTTTTTGGCCGCAGGCGGCCTCCAGGGACTTCTGGCTCGCCGAGCAGGAGGCTGAGCGCTTGCGGCGCGCGCCTTCGAAGCGGAAGGGAGATGCTGTGGGGGGGGGGGTGGGGTGGGGGGTGGGGGTGGCAAGGGGTGGGGGGTGGTTGGGGGTGGGGGGTGGGGGGTGGGGGGGGGGGCGCCCAGAAAGTTGTTTACACTACAGTGGTTGAAACACATGTAAACAAGGGGGTGGCGCTGGTGCGGGGTGAGCTAAACTGAAGAGATGCCACGGGGTGCGGAATGTCAGTGTGGTAGCTATTGCCACGACCAGTTGCCATGTATCACCGAAGAGCGCAACAGTGAGCACGAGTGCTTCCAAAATGGGGGTGGTGCTTGAGGGTACCCCTTTTTGGGTTGGTTTGAAGGGAAACCAAAAGGAACAGCACCATTTTCGGGGGTCCCCCTATTCTGACATGTATCCAAACAAGTTTGTGAATGGACACAGCCTGCCTAAGGTGCTTGGCGACAGGAAGCAAGACATCCTTGAGGCAGACGCTCAGATCCAAGGTGTCCGCGAATCTATCAAGGAAATTCAGGAGGACAGTGCTTGCCACAGGTGTCCTTTTTAGGTGAGCCTGGTTAAAACTAGATGGCACTGGTTTAGATGGGTTTTGTTCCATTTACCAGGGCCATCTATTTTTCCAAAAGGCCACCTATGGTGCTTGCTTCCTTCGACTGCCAGTGACATGAGTGGTACATTGTTTCTTCGACTGCCAGTGACATGAGTGGTACATTGTTTGTGAGCTATGCATACATAGGTTTGAGGCTGCCTCATGAGTAGCCATCACCCTCATTTCCTGCTTTTGCTGTGTGGGCTAGCAGCCAAAGCGGCGCAAAGGCAAGCTTGGGGGCGCGCGCGAAACCAAGCATCCCAGCCGTTCAAGTGCTACTCGCCCGCTTATAACCACCTTTACACAAATATGCCTGTGATATCACATACGCGTAAATACATAGATTCCTTGGATTCAAACTGCACTACAGATGCGTGCTATCATTGGCTATGCCTTGTGTCATTGCTGCTCTCACAGTTGCCCAGCTACCCAGTTGCCACATTTCGCCCATGTCCGCCGATTCGGAAGGAGCGGCTTCGCTCTGCGCGAGGCACGGCAAAGGCCGAGGAAGATTGCAAGAGATTGGAGGATCGCATGAGGATGCTGCAGCAGGAGCTCGTCCGATTTTGAAAGGGCGTCCCATTTCATGGGAAAGGCCCATATTGGTATCACGGAATGGGTGATGTTCCGCAACCGTGGCACGAAAGTCCTCACGTCCTCTCTTCCAACTGGAGAGAACAGCATCTCACGTCCTGTCGGTCAGAGCCATTTGGGTGTGTCGTTTTTGAGGTTGGATCCCCCAAATCGGATTTATTTCTTGGTTTCCCAGAACGGGGGTACCAACTCCAAAATCGACCCCATTCACCTCCACACCAAAAAAAGAGAGCGAAAAACCACGAAACATGGCGGCTTTTCTCTTGATTCCCCTGTTTAAATCGCCCAAAAACGGGGGTGCCACCTCCCACGGCGCCCCTCCGCCGCGTTCGCAGGAAATCTGCGCGGCGAAGGATGCGAGCGAGCGGTGCCTCGTGGAGACCAAGGCGCAGGCCCAGGCCTCCGAGACGCTGCGAGGTGCCGTGGATGAACAGATGTCTTGGGTTGGTTTAGGGTGGGTTTAGGGTTGGCTTGGGGCTGGGTTTAGGGTTGGTTTAGGGTGGGTACAGGGTTAGTTTAGGGTTGGTTAAGGGTTGGTTTACAGTGCGTTTAGGGTGGGTTTTGGGTTGGCTTAGGGTTGGTTTAAGGTTGATTTAGGGTGGTTTAGGGTTAGGGTTAAGTGTTAGGGGTGTAGGATTGGTTTAGGGTTGGGTTTTGGGGTTGGTCGTAGGTTGAGTTGTCCTACGTGTCGGGATGCAAGGGTGCGAGTTTAGGGGCTCGAGGAGGGGCTGTGGGGACCGCAGCGGGGTGTGGGCTCGGGGCTCGGCTCGGGGCTCGGCTCGGGGGGGGGCCTACCCTTGCGGGGGCGGGGTTGGTGGCCTGGGGACTGGAACATATGTTATAACATTCTATATACATGTGTTTTTTGAGGGTACCCTTGTTGGGATTGGTTTCAGCCACAAGGAAAACTACTATTTTTTGGGCACCGCCTTTTTAGCGACAAGCCCATAATTGTTTCAGGCGAACGGCAGAAGCGGTGTGTGGCAGCATCGTGAATGTACGAGTTGCGGTGTCTGCTTTCTTGGCTGCTGCTGCTGCTGCTGCCGCTGTGACCATGTGTGATGTGAAGCACACCCAAGGAAGTCTACTGGCGATGGAGATGCAGCGAGTGGCTTTTACTGGTGAAGTCGAGACAGCGCGGCGTCGAATCGCCGAGGCTTTTGTCGTGTTGGGAGATGGGAGGCATTTGTAGAGATGGGCATCGCAAGGTGGGCAAGGTGTGTGAAGTGCAAGAGCTTAGAGACTCGGGCTTTTCAGTGACGGAAATGGCGACCGGCAAAACCCCTGTCAGGTGGAGGCTGCTATTGTGGAGTGCAAAGATCATTCCATCCAGGCCCGACCCTGTGAGTGGCGCGACCTAGCCACAGATTGTCCACGGTTTTGGCTGAGGGTCGCGCTTTCGTGATGGTTGGATTTGTGGCACCGGGGGCCACTTCGCGCCTCATTTTGTCCGATCCCTTTGCAGGCCTTCAAGGAGAAGGACAACTTGTTAATGAGGGTGAAGGAGCAGAAAGTTCCCTCCTCAGATCACAATGGCCGGCGCTCGTTGGATTTTGTCGAGTCTTTTGTAGCTTTCCACACTACTTGCACGCTTGCACGGTCAGAGCATGGGTGTCTTTTTCGAGGTTCCCTCTTTCGGGCTCTCTCTTTTTCTTCTTGGGTCCCAAGAAGACACCAGCTCACCCATTTTATGTCACCCTATAACTTGTGAGAGGTTCCTAACATCTTCATTTTCCGTACCCGATTTTGAGACCAGGTTCCTACCTTCAGCGAACACCCCAATCCAACCACTATAGGTCCTGGTGAATTAATTCAGTTACTACTACACCAGCCCCAAACTGGTACCGTTGGTCTTGACCGCTTCGGACCCGTGGACCTGCGGAGCCTCGCTTCTCTTCCCAAAACCGGAGGCCGAGGAGCAGCAGCTGGGCGCCTACTGCGGTGCCCTGCGCCGCGCCAGGCACGCGGAGGAGCTGGCCATGGAGGCGCGGGCGGGGAGCGGGGAGTGCTGGTTGGATGCGATGGGATCCTTGTGCTGGTGCTGGTGCAATTGGTAGGGAATGAGTTGGAATGAACCTGGGGATTTGATTTTCCCTTTAAAGGAAATTAGCAAGGGATGGTTTATAGGTCCAAGCAGTGTCCTTTTTGGCTGATTTGGCTGAAAGATAGAGGGCGATTCCTGGTTTATTTGGTGGTTCAATCAACTACCAGGCAAATCCATCAATGTTCCCAAAAAGGACACCTATGGATCCGAGGGGAAGGGGACGAAATCCATTTCGTACCGCTTTGACACCAAGGGAAGCCATTGTTTGGTGGCATTTACAGGGGAATCATCAAAAAGACGGGTTCTTTTTGGTGGTGTGGGATTTTCGTCCATGCACGTATTAAGACGGGGAATTGGAAGAGTTGGCTGGAAAAGCCGTGGATGAAGAATCCATGTCCAATAAAGGGTGTTTGGATGTTGAATATTTTTGTGGATTTACATCCAAATGAGATACCCTGACAAGGGTGAAACTGTGTTTTGCCGAAGCCGAGGCAACCACTAGGGCAACGGGCAGCGACTGAGGTGCCATCCCTTAGTGGCCAGCTCTTGACAAAGTAATCAAGGTCGGAGGGAGAATCCCACCAATTCTGATACTGTGTAACAGGGTATCACAGAGTTCGGGTTACTTCAACGACCATGGCTAGGATCTGCAAACGGAGCTGCAGATGGCCTTCCGTCGCAGGGAGGCGCTGATGGAGGATATCGCGGTGAGCAACAAGGCATGGCTGTTCGGCTTTTTGAGGCTACTCGTTTCAGGTTTGTTGAAGCGGAAACCAAAAGGAGAGCCACAGTTTTAATTTTGCGGGGTCGCCCCTATCTTGTCGCAAGGCCGTGGGTCAACACCAATGGTAGCATTTTGGGGTAGGTGCACCACCCATTTTAGGACCTATTTTAGGGGATTGGGATGTTCACTGGGTTTTGACCCATAGCCACATACCAGACTTTGGCTTATCGAATGGTAGGCGATCACAGCCTGCTCTACGCAGCTACATCAGCTCCGACCGGAGATTGAAGAGGCGCGCTGGGTAGAGCGATCAAATCCGGGTAGGTCGGAGGGTAGGGTTTCCAACAAGCTGCAGAAATCCGCCCCTCTGCTTCTTGCATGGGGGTAGGCCGGAGGGTAGGGTTTCCAACAAGCTGCAGAAATCTGCCCCTCTGCTTCTTGCATGGGGGTAGGTCGGAGGGTAGGGTTTCCAACAAGCTGCAGAAATCCGCCCCTCTGGTTCTTGCCTGGGGGTAGGTCGGAGGGTAGGGTTTCCAACAAGCTGCAGAAATCCGCCCCTCTGCTTCTTGCATGGGGGTAGGTCGGAGGGTAGGGTTTCCAACCACAAGCTGCAGAAATCCGCCCCTCTGGTTCTTGCATGGGGGTAGGTTGGAGGGTAGGGTTTTAACTAGTTTTAACCACAAGCTGCAGAAATCCGCCCCTTTGCTTCTTGCGTTGTTCTGGCTAGATGCGTTGCAGGCGGATCAGAGGAGTGGGCGTTTGGAGATGAGCGCCTTTGCTGCCATGTGTTTTTTTTCACGCTTTGGGTTGACCCAAGGGTGACGGAAGCCCATGTTAGGGGGTTTTGGCAGTTCGGAGACGAACCCAAATCTTCAAGTTGTTGGTGGTCCTCCTTGCTTCCGACGACCAAGGCCTTGCTCAGAAGTCGAAGGACCTCGAGGACGAGCTCTGGCGAGAAAGGACACTGCGCCAGGACTGACATGTGCTTGACGTTGAACACTGCGGCATGGCAACGCACTTATGCCACCACATCATGTTTGCTCTCTTTCGCATTTCTTTCCGTTGGTGTTTTCAAAACGCCTCTGGCCATTTTTCTTCTGTCTTCCTTCTTCTGGGTCCAGTGTTCTTTTATTTACTTTTTTGACTAGCCCCGCTTAGGGCTTGCCAGGACCTGAAGCTGGCAGGTCACCCGGCGAGCCCGGCGGCCGTGAGCCCGCTGCGCCGCCCTTCTCCGGAGAAGGCGGCGCCGAGCCCGGCGCCGAGTCCTTGGCGGTCCGGGCGCAGCCCCAGCCCTCCGGCGGGCGGCTCAGACTCGTGCTTTGGAAGAGTTACCCCCCCGTCTTGGGGTGGGTTCAAAGGGAAACCAAAAGGGCACCACCCCGTTTTTGGGGGTTACAACTTTTTGAGACTGGGTGTAAATTCTGGAGAACGCGCTCAAGGATGGCTGGTGGACAGACATCCCCTTGCACCCACAAAACCCCCAACTTAATCTTGAGGGTGTTCCACATCAAGACTCATAGCCATGCTGTTTCTTGGCACAGCCCCCGGTTTTTCGGGAGTTGCCCCGCTTTGGGGTGGTTTCAAAGGGAAATCAAACGGAAGCCACCCCGTTTTGGGGTTCGAAATGCTTCCTGCGGCTTGAGACTGAAGGGTGTCTAAGTTTTCTGACAGTTTCTACTGAGGCAAAGCCAGAAACAAGTCCATCAAAGGCTCACCATTACTTTCACACCCAACTTGTGGAACGCCCTCAATATTTAATAAGGGATTCATTGGTGGACATCAGTTTCAAGACGGTCTCTGTCTACCAGCCATTATGTCAGATTTGGTTGACCTCAGTTGGCTATGTGTATCGTAAGAATAATACTCGTTATTAGACTCATTATTATAATTATTGTTACTATTAGAATGATTATTTTTATTACTATTATTATTATTATTATTATTACAAGGGTCCCCCTTCAAAAAACAAGACAATTTCTTCACGGTCCTCAAAATTGTTTGGTGGCCATCCGAACGCAAATGATGTCAACAGGGTGAAGTCATACCGACATGGGCTTTTCTTCTCTCTCTCTCTCTCTCTCTCTCTCTCTCTCTCTCTCTTTTTTCCCGGCGGCACAAGCGGTGGGCACAGGGCTCCCTATAGTTCCCCCGTTTTGGTGGTTTCCATTTGGGCCCGTTGGTAGGGGGGAAAAAAGGGAACCCAGGGGGAGGCTCCGTGTGCTTCTCTCAGGCACCTGCTTCTCAAGACCGCGTGCGGGCGCTGGCCGCCCCATTGTCGGCGCCCGGCGCGGTCCCGCCGCGCCGCGCGCTGCGGTGAGGCGGTGAGGCGGTTGGGCCTGAGTTTTAATAGGGGACCCGAAGTGGAGAACATGGTGAGGTTCATGTCCACCAACCACTTTGGAGGTTCCCCATTGAAATTCAAAGCAGAGATGGCCGGGAAGAGGTCAAAAAAGCCGGTTTGGCCTTTGAACCAAACAGGCGCTTTGGAGTTATTCCAAGGTTACTAACCCAGGTTCATAGCTGATCCATATTGCTCCTGGATACTCCATTGCCCGAAGGCGAGAGAAAGTTGAGCCCATTATCATGGATCATCTCTTCCCGGCCAATTGTTTGTTCTAATGTACCGTACCAAACTGGCCATGGCCCATGGCAAAAACAAGCGCCATGTGCTGTGGCTGCGCCGCACCTTGGCAAGCTTGGGAGAAAAGCTGTGCCAAGCGAGTGCTTCGGAGATACTGACAAACGATACCCTGTCCACCAACATGGAGCCCACCAGAAGGTCCCTTCTAAGGGAACATGGTCTTTTTCGGACCTCTCAGGCAGGACCTCCTGCTAGTGGACAGGAGGGCAGGGCTTAGCTGAGCGACTTTTGGTGCACCGAGGCGCCTGGGCGGTCTCCCGCGAGCCATCGGAGGCCCTGGAGGTGGATGGCAGAGGCGCGAGCTCCGAGCGCGCGAGTTGCGCATGGGAGCGGCGCTTTGCGCCGGGCGCAAGGCTGCGAATGGAGCCAAGCCAAGCCAAGCCAAGCCAAGCTAAGCTAAGCCAAGCAGAAGAATGAAAGTAGAAGTGAGCAGTCTTAAGTCGAGGCTCGTAGTTTTGTTGCTGAGGCTGTTTTGTTTCTGTGTCACAGATGTGGGCCCCAAAAGCAGGCCCCGTAACTCAGTTTCAAAGCGTGGCTTGGGGGTTGTAACCGCCAGGAAACTTGCCTGGAGCTCAGCGCGTGCAAGTGGGCACAGCTCAAAGAGCAACATTGAAAGAGACGCGACCCGGCACTGGCAGCGTTAGGCTTCGAAGGGAATGGCCCGGAGGCACGTCTGACCCACTCTTTCCAGCCTGCAGAGTGGGTTGTTCAACAAGGAGGATGTTTTCTCGGACCCAGGAGGATGTTTTCTCGGACCCCTTTGAGACCCCACGAAAAAAAATGCAAAATCAATGGGTATTTGGGCCCAACAAATCAGACACATCCTTCTTGAACAACGGAGAGCTTACACCGTGCCAGGCAGCCAGCCCCAAGAGCTTTTCCAGGAGGAGGCCTGAGGTTTATTATTTTGATGGTGTCTGGGGGCATCAAGGTCAGAAAATGGGGGAAAGGTTTCCCTTTAACCCACCACTTACAAGGTGACTTTGATCATGGTAAAATCATGAGGCCGGGAGGCTGCAAAAGAGTTGAATCTGGGATTGCCTGCTGCGGCTTTATGGCAGACCAGTTTGCTTTCTCACGAGTGCCGTGCAGGACCCGACTGAAGATGTAGCTTGGCGGCACTGGGCAAGATGAACAGCTTCCGAACCTCAAGGCTCTTGCATCCGCCGGCCATTGCAAGGGAGTTGTCTTCGCTGCGGCTTGCATGGCACATGTTGACCATCCCTGAACGAGGAGATGGAGCTTGTAAGGTATACACACTCTCAATGAGCAGTATTCCATTCTGATGGGTCAGTTAGGCAAAGGCTGGACTCCAGCTGGATGTTTGGACCGAAACTTTGGAGCACGTCAGCCAAGGAAGCCAAAGAGATGGAAGATACCAAAAAGGCCTTGCAACTGGGACAGTCCCCAGGTATTCGATCACTCATACTCGATTTGTCACTGGGAATTGGAATGCTCACCAAACCCCTTCAGATCTCGGACATTCATAGCTGTTATGTCGTGGCGGCCAGCCGCCAGGCCGTACAAGAGCTCTTTGATGAGGAAAAGACCAGCACGACTGGCAGTGGCGCAAGACTAGAGGCAAGGTTGGCGAGAGGGGAGCCTTGGAGCCTTTTTAAATTCAGGACTTGGAGAAGACGGATGGCACGCAGCCCAAGGCCCGCACAGAATGAGTCTCGGATCAGAATTTGACATCTCTGCACGATTGCCAGCTCATCAGGAGGGCCTGAGCGATGAAGAAAGGGCAAAGATTGCTGCTGGTGTGCGGTCGGAGATGTCGAAGGCAGTGCAGCTTGGTGCACTTTCGTCGAGTTGTGTTGCCCTTTTGGCACCTTATTTTGCCCCCGGTCCCTCGTCTCCCGAGCTTTGCATGTTCGGTCTCGGCAGGGCGAGCCTTCGGATGACGACTTGGTGGGGCCCCTGGAGAGAAGCGGGCGGGCCATACTATCTTTCATCGGGGACTTGGACATCAGAAGAAAAACACTTTGTGTCCACCAACACAACCGCAAGGTTGAAGCATTCCGGCAGCAATATGTTTTTATGTCCACCACTTCGAAAAGTGGCCTACTCAATTCTTAGCAGTCCCAATTCTGAATCAATCATGATAATGACACCAATCATAAGACAGGCAAAAAGTATAAGCACACAGACACCAATCATGTTTGGACAGCTCGTATTTCAATATTTTTCTTCAATCCCCAATGCCGGTTTGTATTGAAACCTAAAAACCCAATGGAGGGGTATTTTTTCGTTTTTTTGGGCACCCAAACCCAATGCCGATTTTTATAAGAACCCATTGCTCCCAGAGGCGGTGGCCTCGCTGAAAACCTTTGGCAGGCCGCCAGCGAGAAAGAGCGAGTCCGCCTGGCGAGGCTGCGTGCGGAGATGCAGGCGAGCGCATGCCCGGGATGTAGGCGTCTCGTTTTTTTTTTTTTTTTTTTTTGTGTGTTATTTTTGTTTTGCGGGTCCCCGATTTTGTTGGGGGGGTTGGCAGTTGGTTTTCTAAGTTTGACACATACCATATACATTCTGGGGAGTTTCTGATGGTTGCAAGAAAGGGGACCTTTGGGTTTCCCTACTAAATGGACCATCCTATTTAGCACGCGGAGTTTTAATTGGCTACAATCTTGGGCGGGCATTTGTAGCCTAAAATGAGTGGCTTCCCTTCAGATTCCCCTTTGAAACGTCCAAAAAAGGGAACCCTTAAAAAAGAGACGCCCACATTGACGATTTCTGCTTCACCGCTTAGAGGCTTCGGCATTTCCAACCATGAAATTCATCGTAGATCCATTGCCAGGGGAAAGGTGACGGCCTGGACCTCAACGCCGAGCGAAATTCACGCCGTCGCAGCATCGTGCATGGTAACGCGCCTCGTAAAGCGAGGTCCCATGGTCTGAGGATTCCTTTGGTTTTGCAAACAGTCGTTTGCCCGGATTTACTGAGGCAGCTGGATTCGCTGGGACGAGGCATCTATCGTTCTGTGGGAGCTGTGCAAGTTCCGGCCGTGTGCATGAGTTTGCTTCCGAGTCTCCTTTCCATTCTCGAGCTGCGCTAGGTGGATCTGGTGACGACCAATGAAAGCAACACCACCATGACCACAACGGCGGGCCTTCTGTGGTCCGATGAGAACGAGGATGGTGGCAGTTGGAAGGCATGTTCCTTGACAAGCCGAGTGCAGGACTGTCTACAGCCTGAGTCCATTTGGAAACCGCTGGACATGATGGACCAGAACAGGCCTGGACTCGACCTCATTGCTGAAACGGTTGCTGAAGGATGCTTAAAGATACTCAGGGCCCTTTTGGCTTCCCTCACCCTTCCCCTCCATGCCACTGGCCCTTTGCTTTTCGCTCCCCTTCGCTCCCCTTCGCTCCCCTTCGCTCCCCTTCGCTCCCCTTCGCTCCCCTTCGCTCCCCTTCGCTCCCCTTCGCTCCCCTTCGCTCCCCTTCGCTCCCCTTCGCTCCCCTTCGCTCCCCTTCGCTCCCCTTTGCTCCCGCCCCCTCGGGCCAGTTGTTTGCAACCAAGTCTTGATTGTATGACACTGGTGCTTCCGGACCTCATGGACTTAGATACAATGCATTTTTTGGGCCGACACCTGCATTCCGCCTGTGCCACAGTGACTTCTTGTTTTAGTTTTGTCAGGAAAAAGGGGGAGGCTCGAGACATGTGCCAATTTAATTGGACACGGGCAAGGCAGAATGGTTCGAGTCGCGTGTTTTCGTCGTTTGTCCGGAGAAGACTTCGGCTTTTGTGAGGGGCGCGTGTTTATGTGCGCTGCACGTGCCGAATCAATTTCCGCGTACGCGTGCTCGGTGCGAGGTATTGCTCAGGGCGTGGACTAATTTAGTCTACAAGATAGATAAGTTAGAGGTTGGAGTTAGAGGCGAGGATAGAAAAGTTAGAGGTTAGAGGCTTCAGAGGTCAGGCAAGTTAAAAGTTAGAGGATAGAAAAGCTAGACGTTTGCGAAGCTAGACGTTTGAGAAGCTAGGCGTTGGTCGTGTCAAACATCCCAGGGCAGGGGCATCCCTCCCCAGACTTGCCCTAGTCTTTCATGGTGGGGATCACCAAATGAATTCAGGTTTTGTGTGGCATTCTGTGGCATTGCGGACATCTGGTCACGAAGCCCATGTCCATATATAGCTCATTGGGCTATGACCGAGGACTTCTGAGCCTGACCACCGTAGCTGCCGGGTTCGGAAGCCAAGTGTCAAAGGTCATCTTCTTTGGAGCTGAGTCGTGAGCTAAGTGGATTGAGGCCCGATGCAAGCGAGTCGAAGGGTGCGCGCACTGGAGCTACTACTTGTTGGGCGGCGCTTGCTTCCTGCAGGCCTTGCGTAGACGAATGGGGCTGACCAGAAAGACCGAGTCTTCAGCTTGAAGCATGTCTTTCCCAGTGAAAACCTTTCTGCGAAAAGAAGAAGAAGAAGAAGAAGAAAACAAAAACAAAAACAAAACCATGGCGCCTGTGCAGAACGCTTCCGCGACGAAGTCTGCTGGGAAGGCACGTCAAGTGAACGCCAGAACTGGGAGAGGGCAGTTGCAAGCGCAGCATCTGAGCTGGCTGCCAGGAACGGGGACACACGAAGCATGTGGGACACTGACGCTCTTTTTCCCGCGTCGGCGGCCAGGGCACAGTGTCTGGCATCCCCGGCTGCCGAGACAGGGATCCGAACATGCACTTTGGCCTCAATGCTGCTTGGCATTGATTGCATTGAGCTTTGCAGCTTTGCAAGGTTTGTCAGACCACGGCAATTCTGCTTGGGCCGTCAACAAATATGTTCTGTTGGGCGGAATGGGCTTGAGGAATCCGATCTTGTG